TTCAGGACAGAACGTCGATCCCTCGCACACGAGAGTACCTCTCCGAAAATCACAGTCACATATATATCTATTATTTCTTCTTTTTTGTATTTTTATATTCTTTTTTTAATTCTGTGTATCTCCTTGCTTCGTCTCCTCCTCCACTTTCTCTCCCTCTCTCTCACTCACTCATTTATTCATTCACTCATTCTCACATTCTCTCTCTTTTTCTCTTTCTTGCATTGCGAACGTTTTGTTTATCCGTTCGCAAACAATTTCGCGCTTTTACTCTTATACACCTGGTTTTCTCTTTCTTTTCTTTTTCCAATAATCCTAGCGACGTAATTCGCCGCGATTTCGTGATGGCACCAAAATGATCTCTTTAAAACCAAAAAGTTTTCGACGAAGTGCATAAATATAAGATTAATAAGTGCAAAAATATCAGATTAATATCATAATTATGTGTATATGTGTGACGATAGTTTGAATTCAATAAACTTTTTTCGGAGAAACAACAATCGTGACAATTTGTTTCTCATAAATATTTAATACAAAACAAATATTTCCTGACATTTTCTTATTATTCGGAAAATTATATAACTCACATATAAATTTCATAACATAGAACATTAATTAATTTAATCTTTTTAGCATAAATTGTATGTATAAATCAAATATAAAATAATAAAAAATAGCAACTTACAAAATCATAAGATTTTTGTTAATATAAATGACTTCTTGATAATAAAATCTTTAATAAATCATCGATCAACAATCAATACTAACCTTTTGTAAGTACATATATATATACATATGTGTGTATACATATATGTTTACAAAATGTTTTATCGATAGCATGACGCGCTTTTGTCGCGAATAAGTATTTGCTTGTATTACACAAAATTGCTGATATTATTTATCAGTTGACAAAATTGATCGCATTAAGCAAAATTAAAGAAGTGCGATTAATTCTATTTTACTAATCGCGGTTAATTCTCAACAACTCAGAGATTGATAATTTTATTATATTAGTATAATCTATACACGTATTTAAGATGTTGTTTACTTATGTTTGATCGCTTACTTCATTTCCAATTCAAAGAGGTGGGTGAAATAGACCTAACTAATTTTCAGTTGCAAGTTTACTGCTTAAGAACGCTAATATATTTGTAAAAGAGTACATTTGTAAAAGTTTGATCGATTTCAGCACCAAAATCGGAAATTGCGTTGCGAATTCCGACGATTCGTCACGTATAGAAATAGAAAAAATTCGATTTCGAATGAGAAGAGCAGGTGAGCCATCGAGTTTCTTGCAAGATATGAAAAGACGCGCACCGCTGTCCTCTCCGTCATGGCACTTTCAACTTTCGATCTCACTCTTCATTCTCTCTGTCTCTATTTCTTTCATTCTTTCTTACTCTCTCTCTCTCTCTCTTTCTCTCCTTTTCTTGCTTTCTCGCTATCACCTGTCATATCACCTAATCTCTGCTATGTGGAATGTAAAAACAAAAATACTCGTGCCTCTTCACCGAGACCATCGCAGTCGAGGGACATCAAACGCTACTTACACTAACCGCCGTCGTTGATAATCACGCTTAAAACGAGTTATCAAAATGATTTCTTGTAATTTCGACGTGTGGGGGGAAAGGGGGCATCGCGTTTGGACAACAGAGTAATTGATTCTTTCGCAACAAAAGTGTAAAAAAATAACAAAAAAAAATAATTAATACTAAGAGAAGGTAGCTGTAAACTGAGTAGAAAAAAAGTAAGATCAATAAAAAGCGAGTTGTCAGTCCACCAATTACTTGATTAATTCTAGGTACTTCTTCAGTGTCTTTACTGAGAGATAGAAGAATCTGAAAATATTCAAAATATCTATTTTTTTGTTGTTGTTTCTATGTTAGTCTTCACAAATTGAATAAAAAGTAGTTGCAGTGCATCAACAACTGCGCTCGATTCTTACGGATCTTACTTCTTACCTTTTAAAATAATTTGATTAATGGTAGCCATGCATACACACAAATTACTTAATTAACGATTGAATTTACACGTACACGAGTCGCTTTGATAAATTTGGTTTTTTTTTTTGATAAATTTGTGTAGTTTCGTTGATTTGATACTAATTTACCCTGTTACTAATTTACTATGTTATGTTCCTCATTAACATTTGTTTAAAAAAAAACCAAAAAAAACGTACTCGATAGATGTTAAAAATTTTTTTTCGACCGTATTTGAAAACGAAAAATAGCGTATTATCATAAAATACGTAAGACAATCCTCGCGAATAAATATTGCCACAAGATCAAAACATTCTCTTATCCTGTCTTCGCGTGTAGTTTCACCTTGTAATTTGTGGAACCTTTGTAGTATTAGAAAAATAGCTTGGTCTTCTCTCAGAGAAGTTTTAATTACATTCATCTATATATCTTACATTTATATTAAATATTTGATATTTATCTCGATAGATAAAACTGAGTTTCATCCTCGACAAGATAATTGCTCTTTATACTTGCTTATTTATAAAAATTTAGTAATGCTACGCTCTACCGAAGATGTGCATCGTTATCAACTACTATCATATCGCTGCTGTATCTATAGATATACACGCTAAAAGTCAAAGTGACATATGTATCTCTTAAACAAATAATGCAAGTAAAAACATTTATCCTTCTGCGATTTGTTCGTACGGTAAGTAGGTATCTAAAATATTTCTTCACGTAACAACTCAGAAAATATCGTGGCAACATTTATGCGAGATGGCATTAAAAAATGTCATAAGATTCGAACTATAAATGTAAATAAAAATCGTTTAAAAAACATTTTCCGCGGTTTTGCGATCGATTTTATGAACGCAATTAAGAAATGCAAGCACGAGTATAATACAACGTAATCGTGCCACATTTGTTTGATGACCTCGTTCACTGGAAATGCCAATGAAATTTCTGATAACGCGTCTCCGATTGTCAAAACAAGATTGCCCCGCGTTTATCGAGTTTTTTGTGAAGCTTTAGTGACTCGAGAAAAGAGATTACATCACTCTTTCTCTCGCATTTCGATAAGAGACAGATATATAAGTTTGATTGTAAGACGGTATGCGTAACAAATAATTTATCTAAAAAAAAAAAAACAAAAATTCAAATTACGAAAAAGGAACCGACGTTTTCATTGGCAAAATATTTGGAATGCATGGCACTACCACAAAACGCGTTTCTCGACGACGACGTGACGTAACTCCATATCGCGTTATTATTGCAAGTAAAGCATCGAAAACATTCGCGATTTAGAGAAGATCCCGCAAGGAGACTTCGCGACTTCGTTTAACGGCTCGCGATCGGCACGGACTGCTCGTCATCAAGGACGCAGTTCAAGCGGAGGTAGAGATACGGGGGGTACTTGGGACAGCCCGGTCGAACGTGGAGAAGCTCACGCAAAATCGGAAAATTCGCGCGGTTTCGTCGCGACCGATTTAACATTAATTAAAATCCCGTTTTTCCGAAGAAAAAAATACTTACTGGGCGCGCCACTTCTCTCCAGACTACGACACTAGGCTATGTCACTCGTATACCCGTCAAACAAACTTCGGTTCCTTTAGACACGATCACGGTATCTTCTCAAAGTTCCGGAAATGCGCGAAGACAAATTCTCCTCATCGTGTCAAAAAAGATAAACGATGAGCGTCTCTGACGCGCTAGCATCCGGCCAAGGAAGACGATCTCATCCAGAGCACAGACCTCGAGTGATCCAGACATCTCACGAATAGGGAAGGAAGAAACGAGAGCTTTAAAAAATGTCTGAACAAGCTGTGCAGCGTTGTTCCAAATGGCAGTGCGAGAAGCTCCTCGTCGTGTGGGCGCCACTACCGTGCGAATACCGTGATCGCGCCAAGTATCCGAAGACTGACTACTTTGTAGAATAGATGCATACGTAATATCAACAGGGTGTGTAAAAGGATAGGAAGGAGAGTGTGTTTGAAGAAGAATTCTTCGAGAGGAAAATTTGGTTTTTTTGAGCATCATTCGGAATCATTTGCTCCTATGGACATTCAGACCGGATGAGGACTTCGGTACAACTTAAATCATTTGTGCCAGCAAAATATTAACTTTAATGATATAGCAACAGACATTCACATACGGAGGGTAAGTAACGTACACAGCTCATCCTACTACACAACAGATACACGCGGATTCTCGCGCAGCACGATCGGGCCAGGGATCATTCATTTAAGTTCGGTAAAATTTTTTTTTTTTTTTTTTTTTTTTCCCCGATCTTACGAGCTCAGTCTCTCTTTCTCTCTCTCGCTCATTCATGCTTCATTTCGCTTGCATGGGAAAGTTTCTACTGCTCTTTCATACGCGCAGAAATTCGATGATTCTCTCTAAAGCATCAATAGCTATAAATCGCGATTCACATCGTTGAGAAGCTCGACGTGAGCTTTGCAACGAGTCAACGAGTCATCGGAAATAAAACTCTCTTATTTGACACACATACACACATTTTATTAAATCTTTCATACATTCTATCTCTATCACACTTCTCTCTATCATACTATCACTATCATTTTATTTTCAAAATTTCTCCCTGAGTCTCTCGTTCTCGCGCTCTCCCTCAGTCACACACTTATTCTCCTTTCAACTACTCTTGGTGTTTCTGTCGTGCTATGGCGCTTCATTCTCTCTCTCGCATCTTCTTCCGCACATAAATCTTTCATTGAGAACTTCATTGTCCCTCCTCAACGTTTTGGGGATTTAATCTCAGTCATTCGGGTAGAAGCCGCAGGCTCATTTTGTACCAGGCATAACCCGTATCATCTTGGCAGGCAGACTTCTCGCTTTGACCTTGATTCATTCATCGGCAACATCCACTTGCATTCTTCCTTATCATCCGTTGTCAGCATCCGGCAGACAGGTACTTAAAAATCTTTTTTTTTGTTCTCTCTGTCTCGCGCGCGCGCTCTTTCGCACTTTCTCTCTCTCTCTCTCTTTCTCTCTCTTTCTTTCTCTCTCTCTCTCTCTCTCTCTCCCTTTCTCTCTCTCTCTCACACTCTCTCTTTCATTCTCGCTTTCTTTCGCTCTCGCTTTCTCGCTAAAATCCCTTTCTCTGGGATCATATAGGCTGCGCTCGACGTCGATATTATAATCGATAAAATACCGTCGCCAGATAAGGACACGTGCAGACTCATCACTCCATCATCTCGTCATCATCGCTTCGGAACTCACGCACATCCATCAACTCGCATCCGCACCATCCAATCTTGTTGTTTTTGTATTGTGTTTGATAGCTTTCTAGTCAAATCAAATTGCACGACAGTACAACCGTGGGGTGATCTGTAAACAACAAAAGCGAGCCAAGTATCAGTCACCGTCGCTCATCGGTGCTCTTTCTTTTATTTTTGGGGAGGGGGGCTTCGGGCAGGTGTTATCCGAATCGTGTACGTAGAAAGTCCGAAGAAGACGAAAAAATAATGCTACGACGAAAGATAACGGGAATTCCTATCGGCATTGAAGCGATTCCTCAATGCCCTTGAGTACGCTCACGAAATTTTTTTTCTCTCTCTTCCGCCCTCCTCCTTCTCTTTCCTCTCTACAGTCCTATCTCCTAACTACTTCCTATTCGCAACAAAAAGCTCACCGTTAAACTTTGTAATACTTTGAACTATATACGCAATATTGGTAATCTAATGTGTATGACAAAGGCGGAGCGCGGAACGAAACGTGTGAACGAAAATAACGAAGTTGAACCTCGTCACTATGGCACTCGAATGAACAAACTGAGGTATGAATTGGCGTAAAATAAAATCAAAATCGCGCTCCAAATAGGCACAATGCTTGATAGAAAATATAATAAAAGTACAGAGTACTCACCAACTAGACGTTGCGTTAGCTTGAGCGGTCGACTTGAGCTTTCGAATTTCCTTTGCAGCCCAGCTTGCAAGTTGTTTAGTTTTGTGAGTGCGGGACTTCCTGCCTTTAGCCAGCAAGTCGTTGAGCGGCTCGGTTTCCACCATAGGCAACAGTTTGACTCCGAATACCATAACGAGATCGCCTAAGAGACCCAACGCAGCCGACACGTTGCCTTCAGAATGCTCGCGGTCTTGCGCTATCGATGTAATAAATTGTATGATAAACGGCACGTGAGGCTCGATAAGACCAATGGCGGCATCCGGACCGTTATTCCCATCTCCGCGGAGACCTTGAACTATGCCTGTGTAAGCTTCGAGTACACCTTCGCGTAGTTCGTTCAAGTAATCGATCATATCGTAGTCAGTCCTGTCGACGTTAGCCTGGGACGCCTGAATAAGTGTCTGTAATACGACTTCGAGATATTTCTTAAATTCCGGCCCAATGCTCATAGCGATATCACCAAAGGCCGAAAAGATTTGCGGCTTGACCGAACGATGAACTGCGTTGTTACCCAAATTCTCGAGCAACAACGTCATGATTTCGTCACAGTAGGGTAACATCTCACTCTTGAGCGCTCGACAGATATCACCGGTAAGGCCAACTGCTGCACAACAGACCTGATATTCGGCATGATTCTTCAGACCAAGACAAAGATATGGCTTAAACGCTTCCATGTATTTTAAAAAGCCTTCTCCTAAAACTTCGACAAGGGTCGAGACGGCCATAAGCGCATCTTCCTGCACACCGCCCGATTTACAAGAATTCGAACTAAACATGGCCAGAAGAGCAGTCATTATTACGTCTGATATTCGCGGAGCATCTTCTGTTGTCACCTTACGCAATACGGACTGCAGTGTGGCACAGAGTAACGATTGTAGATCATTGTACTGGGCACGATCGATGTGGCTCTGTATGTGAGACTCCATTTGTAACACCTGTTGCAAGCGGTCGAGTATCACCATCGTGGTTTTTTGCACGGTCACGTAACAGTCACGCGGTGAATTCTTCACCAATTCCATCAGAGCCTCGTAAGCAGCGGATCTCAGATTCGCTTGTGCGCCATCCGGCCGATCTGTAGTTTCTAGGAGTCGTTGAACGATAAAATCAAAGTACTGTGACATACAATATGTTTCTGGCTGATTACCATCTTCGCCTGCCTCCGCAGATTCATAACTTGCCTCTGCTAGTCCCGTAAACGCCCAACATACATTAGCAGCAACACGAGGTTCTGCTTTTAAGCCGTTCACCAAAGATTCCAAAAGTGGTTTCAAGTAGGTTTCATTGATCGCGGCGTCTGGGATCATCTCGCATATACGGCCAAATGTCCATGCAGCAGTGTCACGTACAACAACGCTACTGTCGTACATTAGTTCGATTAAAGTGGGCATGGCTTGCTCTACCAGCGGTTTCAATGTGGCGGGTTCCAGACCACCCAGTATCGAACCAAACGCCATTAGCGCCGCATCTCTATATCTCCAGTCACTGTTTTTTATATTTTCATTGACGAAAGGAAGAACGTATGGAACAATGGCTTCTTCGCAGCAAGAGGATAACAACATTAAACATACTCCAGCAGCTTTCGATGGGTTCCAATCATCCTCATCGTCGTATTCTTCTTGTTTCGTCAGTTTTTTCATTAAAACTGGTACCAAATATTGCAAAGCTCCTTTAGCATAATGTCGGGATACTTTTGCTGGAACACGACCTCCTTCCGATGCTTCTCCTTCTTCCATCGACAAATCAACTTCCTCATCAGATACGTTCGACCAAAATTCAATTCCCTGAAGTGCTACTTCATCAATATCGGATTTCATGGCCTCTAAAGTAATCTGTAATAAAAATTTTGTAACGACTTTTATATATAAAATAACTATCAATGTCATTTATATAAGCGTGAGAGCATAAGTCGTGTACGTTAATGATACATCTTGAAATTTTTATTAAATGTACTTACAGGAAACAGTGCTGGAGCCATATATGGTTCCATGTATTGATAATATAATGACATTATTTTTACAAGACATTGCAGTGCAGCTACTCTGATTTGGGTGTTGCTTGACTGAGTGGCTTCGCATACTACTTCCATTATGAAATTTCGTTCTGACTGTATATACAAAATTAAAATATTACTCTCTATAAATCTCTCATCAAACAGATTGTAATCGTCAATAACACATCAAACACCAACCTCCTTTTCGAAATTTCCTTTGGTGAATTCCAGAGAATTGTACAAGGCGCTTGTAGCCGCCAATCGAACATGATTTGAGGTACTCGAACCCTTCATACCGTGAATGATAGCTGTAAGAATTTCGTTTGATTGTTGGACCAGAACTTCACTTTCAATTTCCTGACAGATATATCCAATGGACTCCAAAGTTGCTTCTTTCATCATTTCGGTACTGGACGTGTTGACAATATTATTGACTAATAATGGAATTAATTCGGTCCACTGATCCACGGGTAATTCGGCAACAGCAATGTAAGCAACACATTGTGCTGCCGAACTTGGCCTATTATTTTCTGTTCCCAATGCTCCTAAAATCTGCAACAGTATAAATACTCCATTTCGTGTCCGTATAAAGAAACCTACATAACATATATTTGGCACAAGATTTTTTATACATGATTTATCAGTTTTTAAAATAATTTAGTTTTCGCAAGGGGAAGCAGAAGATTGCGCAAAGGAATGATGTAAATTTGTTTTTTCTTTCACGATACACAGAAATATATAAAATATGTCAAAATTACTTATTAAGTATGACGGATATTCATTTTTAAATATAAGCAATTCTTTCACCACACTTAAGAGGCTGTGCTTCTTACAGCCTTTATTTACCCAAATGTGGCGAGCACATCTTCTAAGATGTTTCAAAAATATTCTTTTCTCTCCTCTTAAACATTTTTTATATTACAATATAAGAACATTCCAAAATATTCTTCAAACTTTTACATTTATATTACACTGCGTGTGATTCTTACATTTTTCTTAATATAGTTCCTAGTTTCAGGAGGGATGGTGAGCCATCGTTGCTGGTACTGGTACTTTAGTTCAGGATCTTTGGAGGTAAGTTGATTTTTGAACTGTAGACCTGCTGCCATGCGAGCAATGTGACTCGCACTGACGGTGAATAATACAGCGCTAAGTCTTTGCAAGAATTCAGGCTAAAATTAAAAATCAAGTGTCACAATAAGCATTTAACTTCTTCATTTGCCGATGTAAAGTTTATTGTTGCGTTTTCACTCACAAGATTGCTGTCAGCTGCCTGCTGCAGAAAAGTTTGCGCCGGAACGAGCTCATTTTTATCTGCAAACGCGACAAAGTGTAATGTTACTTTGCTAGTCCAAAAAAAAAAAAAAAGAAAAAAAAAAGAAGAAAAAAAGAGTCGGAATTATAGGTTAGACGGGCGCAAAACGCTTCGCAATGCATGCCGCGAACAGCGACGTGCACAGATGCAACCGTCATAGAAGACAATACTTTTCCGGCGACGGAACAAAGCGCTTAGCAACAGCACGATGGAGCGCGATATCGTGCGTAATAATATGCGAAATGGCTCGCGTTATCGTTCGCGAGTCAACGACTGCGAAACGTATTTTTCAAATAATCGCAGAAACAACGAAAATTCGCAGGGCGCGATTGGCGGCGTCCGAGCAGCACATTGCGACTGAGAGAATTTTTGTCAGAGCGAAAACGATGCACGCGCACGCGAGTTTTCGCGACGTCATCCTCGCGGAGTCGGTTTATCAAAATCGCGCTCGGATGTTGGCGTTTCCCCCGATCGGCGAGATTGCGAGATGCTCGATCAGATGAGATCCATTTCGCGCGCGGTTTTACTACGTTGTACGTGACACCAACGTTGCGTGGCTCCAATGCTCACCAGACGAGATCGTCCTCTCGAGGACTTGGATCAGTTGCAACGTCGTCGGATCCATCTGCATGGCTAACGGAGATCAGTTTTACGTTTGGCGTGATCAACACGAGTTTGGTCGTCGGCGATTCGACGAGATTTTACGCCTGTTCCTTAATACGAATGTTCTCGTCGCGACCGGCGGATATCCACATGTAGCCACCACCGACTTAACCAGACTTAACTGCCTTCGACGTTCCCCCTTCTCCTGTCGTCTACTTCCTGTGTGGACACGGCCGACCTCCTCCTTCTCTCTCTCTCTCTTATCCACGAAATTCGGATCGCGATTTATCGTCTTCTCTCGCTTTCTCACGCTCGTTTCCTTCGCACACAATACGCGGCGCAGTTATATTTCGCAGCCTTTTGATATTCTCGCGCCCGTTGCGCGCACAAATTTGCGAATACACGGAAATGAAAACGTTAATCAATCGCCGTCAATAGATACAAAAAATCGTCAAGACGAGCGTTCTTACGAGCGAACTTACTTAACGGCAGTTTCTCCGAGACGTGATTGTGTTGTGTTTCCCCGAGTGAGAACTATTTTCTCGTCGCGCACGACAAACCGACTACGCATGCGCGGTTATTTATTTACGCGCGCGCCATCTGGTATCATTGCGAGGCAAACGCGCATTGGCCACACACGTTGCGCGTACGATTGACCGTTACTATGGTGGACATTTCAATTTGAAGTATTTCGCACTCAACACACACACACGTTCGAAACAACGTAAAAGAGAGAAATCATTGGATTATTTGAAATTTCTTAAAGCCAAGTCGATAGTAGAAATCGATCCGAGATCCCGGACAAAAAGAAAATTGACCAATCACGTTAGCTTCGCGCAGATACAATGTTTGTTAGATGTCTAATGAATGTTCGTAACGTTTAATAACATTTGATAGAAGTTTGTATAGAATATTTGTGTGGGCTGAATTGTTCAAAATGTCATTGATCAATTCTCTCATTTCTCTCATTGATCTCTATACATATGTACGTAACACCACGTATGTGTTGTAAACTAATTACTACAGAAATCAATATATATTGACGTCACTACCCACACACAGAACAAAAATCTACAGAAATCTCATTAGATATCGCATATGAAGCTGCAGACGTTTCATGACATTTTTGTTCTGTATGTTTGTTATGTATGTAAGAAACAAAAAATAAAATAAAATTGTAACATATTAAAACTTTTATTATATTGTCACAATTTTATTTATATTTTTTCAAATAACTTTCTTGACATATACATTAATCGATGAATGAACTCTTATTTTTTGATGGCGAAAGCTTTTATAAATAAAATGTATTATGTAGATATAAAAAATCTCTTTTTTGTTTTTCTTTACAACAAAGCGACAAAAAAGTTACACGGAATATGTAGGTGTTGGTACATTAAAAAACATGTGTGTACTATATATAAAATATAATTTATGTTTTTTGACTTCCGGTTTTTTTTTTTTTTATTTATTTAGAACGGCTCGGACTTTTTGGCGCGATTGGTCGAAGCGAAAATTGTTACATACGAGCAAAAGACGGCGCGGGAGAAAAGGAAGATTCGAAGGAAAGGAGTTTGTAAAACAATTTGTCAACCAGTCGTTTTAGTAGATTTAATGAAACGATATACAGAATACATTTGCTTTCGTAATGCATTGCAACGCATTCTCGCGTGCCTTACCATCTATATCACATGTCAATTTTTTATTTATAAAATATAATCGTTACAATTTTTTTTTGTTCTCACATCTTGCCTTTAAATTGCCTCTTCGTTATATATATCGAAAGTACATATTTATATATATATATATATATTTATGTGTATATATATAGATTTATTTATGTATATATATAATATATATATATTTATTTTTATTTATATATCTGTGTGTATTTATATATTTATATATTTATATATTTATTTGTATTTATATATATATATATATGTATATATTATTTCAAGCGAGAGGAAACTGTGTTGTGGCTCGGCACAGAGAGAGAGAGAGAGAGAGAGAGAGAAAAAAAAAAGAAAGAGAGAGAGAAAGGGAGAGAAAATTAACAACGAATCAGGCCGGAAAGGTTTCATGAGTGCGCGCGCGTGTGTATAAATATACGTATATATCATATGTGTTAATATTTAATAATAATATTACACAGAGTGTGAGACACATATTCACGTGATGTTACGTTGTGCATCGTTTCCACGATCGACGAATGAGAAGAAGTATCGGCGATCGAGTTATTATTCTTTTGCGATTATTTTATTGTCGGCCGCTCAAGTTACATTTTCTCTCTTTCTTTCTCATTTTTGTCTCTCGCGCAATCGCGATTGTGTAATTACAATAAGCAGGATTACACGCGATTTTTGCGATACAATTAATTTGTCACTTCTCAACTCGTACGGTCGTCGATACGATTTTTGTCGTTTCCTTTGACTATTCTTTCGTTATTTTGTATGTCAATCCCGTGATAAATGCATCCTACCATTTGCATCGCACAAGGTGTACACTATATAAAGAGGGAGAAGAGAGGAAGAGAAAGATACAGAGACAGTGATTCGAAAGATCTAGTATTCTTAATATGGATCGTCTTACGACACTTACGTAGATTTGTTGGCTGCTATTCACATTATTTCTATATATGTGTGCACGTGTGTGTCTGTTTGTATTAATTTAGCAGATTTATTTTCGGTGCAACACTCATTCTTTACGGTGCATACGTATGTGTTAAACGTATAGTACATATTACATGTATAAACGCGATTTTTTTTGGCCGAGCGTGCGGACGTTCGTATAACGACAGAGAGCGACATAAAACTTATATGTATAATCAACAAATATTTCACAAAAAGTGTTTGTTTAGATATTCGGAAAACTTTTTATTTGCAACATAATTCATAAGTTTAATTTTTTTAATTTTTATTAAAATACACATATATATATATATACATATATAGATATGTATTATATATATTAACAAATAAAGAAATAAAAAATATAAAATTAATTGAAATTTTTTAATATGGGGAATATATTTATACATTTCTTTGATATTACAAAAGAGAAGAGTAGTTTTTTTTTATGTGAAATGCAAAGATTAAAAATTTAGTCTTAATAATTTATTTAAAGATTTCAAGGAATAGAAGATTAGTTCTTCCTCATAATATGATAGAGAGTTTAACAACGTGCGTGAAAAAGAAGCACACACTATCAGAAACTCTATACATATAAACTCTTACGTAGGAAATTCATAGAAGAACGTAGAAAGTTTATGCGGTGCGTTGTGACATGTGTTTTTTTTTTTTTTTTTAACATCGCAATTACCTTTCCATCATCTTTTGACGAAGAACCAATTTCTTCACAGTTTTGTCGGCGAAACACCCTGTACACACGAACATCCGCTGTTTAACATCCGCCAGAAATAAAATAATATGCCTTCGAATAAATTCATTTGCGATCGAAGAAATAATTTATTTACAACAAAATTTCGAAGAGAGATTTAAATAATTTGTTGATCGAACATTTATTGCATACATCGATGAAATGAAGAAAAGAGAGGGAATAGAGAGGGAAGAGATTTATACACCTAACGGAACTGACTGTTATGTCGTTACAGCAATGACAAATAATCGGTTTTAGACAACAATGTCGGGACGTTGATCTCGTTCATTTCATATTGCAATTTCAGTATTTTTTTCTTTTTTTCTTCACGCCCGAACAATCCGATCTTGCCCTGCCACTCCTCCTCTTCGTCCTTCTCGCGTTTTCTCCTCTCTCGCGTGTTTTCTTATAAGTTTTTTTTTTCTCATAAAAAATAGTTCGCCGCAGCGCTGGGTCCAGGGAGGATTTTTCCGCGCTCACAGGAGCGGAAGACATCAGCCATCTACTTTATTATTCGCGCGGACTCTCGTTAAGAAAACAAAAAAAATATATGTATAGGAACAAAAGTACGCCCCTTCCCCCGCACCTCCCGCTTGCCGGAGGTCGAAACTCTTCTCGGGATTTTCTCGTTCTAATCGAGCCCTCCGCGAAATTCTCTCTGATCTCTCGATCTTCATCCGATCAAGATAACTCCTCTCTCCCAAAATCTTCTCTGGACTTAACACTTTGTTCGCACGAGCGAGAACGTCGATTTCCGCGCCCGAGGATCCCGTTAAGAGACGAGAACTGATATGACGAAAAGTTAAGGCGAATCTCTCTCTCACGTTCATTCTCAGGGTTTTTTTTTTTCCAATCGCGCCGATCGAAACGTTTCTTACACGTATAAAAATGATTATCGCATGATTTTTTTTTTTTTTAGTTTTGTTATATTGTCGCAGATAGGTGCCAGGTCATCCTCAATGATTTTTCTAATCGGCCACCATTTCTGTATCTCTCGGAATTTTCTCACAATTCGCTAGTCCATTATCAAATACATATTCTTCACAATGGACGGACGAAACTGTTTATATTAATCACCGACATTATATTACTTTTTTCAAGCTCAACGTTTAGCATTGTTTCTAGAGATCTGTATGTAGAAATATATGTCTTATTGAAATATATGTCTATATATATATATATATATTTGTCCTTCAAAAAGTACCGCTGATATCCACGTTTAGAAATTTTTCAAGAGGCAAGATTTTACATGTCTAAATGTGTGTTTTGTTTGTTTGTTTGTTTGTAACCGTTCACAAACGTGCATAAAAACCTTGTATCGTTTTTGCGTTACAAAATATTCTGGCAAGACATTGGCACCAGTCTGATGTATTTTCTTATCTTATTGCTATCAAAACTTCGCGGCGCGAATTGGATGGTTTTTTTTTTAGCGAAAACGAACATTTTTTTTTTCGAAAAATGTGCCCGTCGCACGATCCTCGAAATGCAAGAATGAAGGAACAATCGACGCTCTCGTTCGTATTATCCTAATTTCGATCGCAAGGGTCGCTTAAAAAAATCTGTTGCACCCTCGGATCTTGTTTACCTTGCAATCTCACCGGGCATTATGTCACTTTTGAACACTTGCATTCGTATCCATCCGCAAACGTGGACGTGTTTATAAAGCTTATTAATCACCTGGTACACGGAGAAAAACGTCGTTTTCGTAAAAACGTCGCAAATGGTCATTCGAGATAAATTGTTTGGCGCATTTTTTTAACTTGTACTTGTTTCGTATTTTTTCACGAGGATAATTGAATTTTTTATGCGCTGGAAACGGAATCGGTGAACACCTTTGTCGAAAGAGTAATTGTACAATACTGAGTCGACTAATTAAGCCATTGACACGTTGTCACGTACGACATAAGAGCCGATATCGGCACTCCGCAGTAAATTACGCCGTGTGCGATAAGTAGTAAGACATATTGTATTTAATTTGCACAAGAATGTATTGCTGTAAACAGTTTGGAATAACATTTTTTTTTTTTTTAACAAGTTTTATAATAATTTGTACGCTCCATTGAATTCTATTATTTCCTCGTGTTGTTCAAATTGATCATGACGAGAGCTTCAGATTTTTCTAATTAAAAACTGTTCCTAACAAGTTTTAACACGCAGAGAGCAATATTACAATTATCATTTAATCCTTTACGGCTAAAGTCGTTTTTTTTTTTAACAGGTACAACATTTTTCAGGGATGCTCGAAAATATTTTTCTTCTCTCTAATTTCCAGACTATTTATATCTGATCTCCTTACGGATTTACATCTCGACATAAAATATGACGTCTGACAATAATCTTTTTTTTTTTTCAGGCCGCAAAGCATTAATTTGTAAGTTATTAGCTAGAATTGAGAAAAAATGCCTGAGATATATCGCAAAAGTTTTCGGAAGGGAATCGGAATAATTGCACATGAAGATAAAAAACCGTGAAACGCGTGACTTTTTTCCATTTCCAGCGACGGGAATAAACGCGATTATATTTCCGAACTTCTTCCGTGTACTACGTCGTGTCACGAGATCGCGTCTCGGGAATATCACACGAGAACGTTCGCTAATTTGAAAAGATAGAAGAAAAGTTATTTTGAAGAATCACACACACAATTATAGAGAGCTAATAGTAGTAGACGAAATCGATCCGAGCAATTTTCTTTTTCGTTTTCGTCGCGAAGCGTCGAACATTTGCGGATACACACGTTTTTTAGATTAACATGTACACACATAATTAATTATCATAATCTATTGTGCACGTACAGGTAATCAGCGAGGCATTGTGTCTGTGTGTTTGTGTGTGTGTGTGTTGTGTGTGGATCACGGTGTGAGAATGCTGCCTGATCAGTCGTGTGACGGAACTCGGATCGCGTTGCATCAATAGCTACGGTAGTTATATATCGTAAGATTACAAGAGACAGGAGTAACCTTGCCGAGACAATAGCAAATCTCACAATGGCCAATAAAGTCTGAAGAGAATACAAACTGAAGTAACTGTGAAAGTTTGAATCTGAATATTATACAGATTCTTCTTCTTATCTTGAACGTTTATCTCTCTCAGTTTATCTACATCCGTCTAGATAAAATTTAAAGAAAATTTCAAAATGCGTATAATACGTATGTACATTATTAAAACTCATAAAGACTTTTTCTCGCCGCAAAGTTATTCCTGCAATCTTACTTTAGTTTACGGCACGTGAACAAAAATATCAATATACAGATTAAAAAACGGAGATGCGTGTCGACTGCGGTAATCTTGGCTAGGACATCTGCTTGAAGAGACTTGATCGGCATCCCCTGTCGTCTCTCGCGTCGGTCGAAGAGCACTGGTGCGATGAAGGGCGCTTTAACAATGACGACGACGACGACGACGACGACGACGACGACGACGACGACGACGACGGCGAAGCTTACTGTAGCGAGACAATGGTAACACAAGGTGGTAGTAAATGTAGCGCTGGTAACAGTGTGGTAGTAATAGTGGTAGTAACGCCATATAATAGTAACGCTATCAATGAGTAGTTGTAAGTATAACGGTATAATAAAGTAGTAGTTGTATAGTTAAGAATAGTAGTAGCAGCGGCGCGTTCTCTCTTTTATATACGTATATAAATAGGACACTCTACGTTAGTTTGATTAAAAGTAAATGTCATAAAACGTAATAGGTAACTTTAAGCCGGGCCCGCCTCGCCGTCGTAAGCGGATGGAATTCTTTTTTTTTTTTTCTTTCTTTCTTTTCTCTCCTCTCGCCCTCTCGAACGAGGCGGGCCCGTGATTGTACGCCTTAGCTCTCTAAAATCACATAAACGCAAGAGTAGTGGTAAAGGGGTCGATCACGATATATCGACCGTACGCGCCTTTGGACGACGCTTCGATGGCGCCGACGATGCCGAATCTATTTTGCGAGTGCTCCGGGAAATTATCCCTACGAATCTTATGTAAAAGCAGTTTCACGATGAGAACATGATAAAATCGAGTCAGTTGTGAACTGAAATCCATTTTTATGTATAGGCGCTATACTCTCTGTTCCCGATATCGAAAATATACGGAGAATCGAGTTTTTTTTCTTTTTTTTTTTTTTTCTCTACCAGTTGAGAACTTATATAGCGAAGCTGTGTGTAGTTTCAAGTTTACTTTTTTGGATGTGCCTAGATATATAAAATGTTTGTAAAAATGTCTAAATATTTAAATACGTATGCAATATAGTTTAGTATAATTAATAGTCTGAATTATATACTTGCTGAAAATGTGTAAAAAGTGCTTATAAAAATACTACGATTGAAACTATTCCTAGCAAGAGTAATTCTCAACTCTCTCTCTCCTAACACTTTACGGTTAAAACTTATGAAGTGTGTGTGATAGTGCCACTCCCACTTTTTCCATTATTTTACTCTAGGGACACACGTATTCCAAACCGCACTTTTTAAACGCACGTTAAACGCTCGTATAGGATTTTTTCGCTTGTACTTCAGTTACCGTCAGCGAGTTTTTTTTTTTCGTTTTTTTTTTTTTTTTTTTTTGTTCAATTATTCAATCACATGACTTCTGTCTCGAGAACTCAACAAAGCGCATCAGGACAAATAGATACAGTCACAACGTAGAGCAAAGTAAGGCGTAAAAAAAAATTAAAACGCGTACTCAGCTACACCACAGAAGTGCGTCGATCTGTTTCCGTGTGCATTTGAACGTTCGAATTCGTGATTTGAACGTTTATTAAATTTGCGATGCATCTGCACTCGGCATCGTCCTGCCGTCGAGAGCGCGACCGACATCCTACGTCTAAACTGTCAAGAAGGCGGGAAGGCGCGAGTTTGTTCTTCCCGCCGGCTGTTCTGATATGTTGCGAATCGCCGTTTGTTTGTTTGTTTTTTTTTTTTTTCCCGCGACAGATAAGATATTGCCGAAGAATATATTGCGCGTGCTCGAGAAGTGGCGGGTCGCGTGCGAGCCGTGATAGAAAGAAAGAGAGATCGACGAGTCGGGTGCGAGCACAGACAGCCTCGTCCTTCGTACAAATCAGGTAGAAAAGTGAGAAACATTTGCGTCCTTCGCGCGGAGACCTGTCCCGCGAGGGAGAGAGAGAGAGAGAGAGAGAGAGAGAGAGAGAGAGAGAGACAGACAGAATGAGAGAGAGGAGAGAGAGAGAGAGAAGAACCCTCTCCCGTCCATCCGAGTCCGCACGAAATCCGCTAACAGTTAAATGAGAAGATAGCGAAACCGGCGCGGGTCTACCCTCGCATCTCGTTTCCCGACTCGCTGCTCACCACCAAGTTGCAGCGGCAACAGTAATGCACTTACTGCTAACAGATGGCAAGACGTTTGGAACACCCGCCACCCGATACACATCGCGCATGCAGAGATCTGCATTTCTTTCAGATATTTTCTGTACACTCGCATTCACACACGTGATACGTACATACATACATTCGTCTCTCTCTCTCTCTCTCTCTCTCTCTCTCTCTCTCTCTCTCTCTTTTTCTCTCTCGTGTTCTCTCATTCATTCTTAACGTACGTACAGTAAACTTTCCCGTAAGGTTAGCGTTCGCGCCCTTCGAATTCGAGCGGACAAGTGTCCGCGCTCGTTCGTAATCGGCCGATAACGCTCTCTTTGCTCTTCCTCTTCAACGGGCCTTTGAACGGTGCGAGAAAACGTCACCGGGGATGTTTGTCAAGAGCTTGATCGAGTACCCGCGAGACCGCGCGTGCGAGACACGCAAGAAGAGAGTAAAGCTACGTGTAATACGAACTAAGAAGGATGCAATCAGAAGATAACGCAACCGCACGGGTCTGAGAGAGTAATCTAGATGCTGGCGAGCTCTAGGCTGCTCGGCTCGTCTTAGAAGGGCAGACTGCCGACGAACATTGTCTCGATCATGGGTGGCGCCGGCACCAGGTCCTCCAGCTTAAGGTAGAAGATCCGCTGGAGGCCCTGGACCGAGAGACTCCTAAGCTCCGGTATTTTTCCCAGCAGATATGACAGGTACTGTGACTTTCTCTGCGCCTCGGCGTTGTAGGTCACGTGATCGCGCAGGGACGAGACGATCTTCATCTGTAACGCTTCCATGCGTTGCGGCTCTTTCAATCCATACCTCTCTGTAAGACAGAAAACGAAACAAGCTTTGAGCGACACCGTCCTATTCGTTTTTATTTATTTTTTTTATTTTTATTTTTTTTAATAGTTGTGAGACCGTCAGACTCCATGGAATTGTGTCAAAGAGTGAAGTTTACTAATTAAAAATAATCTCGATATTATATTTAACATATTTATTTTGTATTATTTGAAATTTAAGATTAAGAGACGTGTGCATTAGTCAATCAGTTAGACCTCAATGGTATCGGTCACGCGATCTTCGGCAAGAAGCTAGTCAAACAGACTGCGAGATTGAGCGCGCCTGTAAATCGCACACCTGCATGTCCGGTTGCCAATAGATCGCGTGCAAAACGCGGGGCCACCCGTTCCTTTCGTCGTAACATCAATAACTAATTGATCCGACGGGATAAATTATTTATCCCGTGGACAGGCCGGTATAACCGGACTGCGGATAGAGTGAAGGAAAATTGAAAGTGCCGTTAGAAACGCCTATCAATAAACTGTGCGAGACGACAACCATCGTTGTGCAATTAATATTTAGTACAAGACAATATCGACTGCGGCAATCTATTTAATTACTCGATTAATATTGTGAAAAAATCAATTGAAATAACATAATCTGAATACTGACCGGTGACAAGAGTGAGAGCGCACAGGCAGGCGAAGGCGCTGATGTCGACCTCCAAGTAATGAAGAGTTTTGCAAAATTCGAGTATGCTGTGCAACCAGTCGCCGAAGCTGCGCTGACACTGTTCCAACGCGAGAACAACTCCGTTGCAGAACACAAGCTTCGTGTCGTCCGGATGTGTGCGATACGCCAACCTGAGCACAAACAGTTCCAGGCTGGCCGATTGGAAGAGAAGTTCCTGGAATTAGATTGTGCGACACGCAATTATTAATAAGTATCAAATGGAAATTAATAATTAAGAACTGTGTTTATAAATAAAGACAAATGGTTTTTTGTCATTTGTAACGTTGACACACAAATCGCTCAAAGATAACATCTCGCACTTGGATATAATAACGATTTAGAACGAACCATCGGAACACCGGGTAACGACATGTTAACAAATTAACGTTTACCGTTTCTTCCGAACAGTCTATCAGTCAGCCAAGTAACTAGCTGTGTCGAGAGCTCGTCAAGATTGACCTTTTAGAAAATGTATGTGCTATCGATCTCTATAACTGGCTAGGTTTTCCAATGGATATCGCTCGAGAATCAATATCTGACCGACGATAAATGTAAAAATGTGACGTTTATTTGACAACAAGATTCAAAAAGAACGCAAAATCTAAATTTTTTCCCGACTTTCTAAAGTAAAGAGTTACTAATTGTTTCTAATTGCTCACCTGATCTTCTCGCGCTAGATCTGTGAAACCGGGAATTTTTTCAGCAAAGTTGCGAATAACGTCAATCGAGGTCGTCAACAAATTGTAAAATTGTTGGATTTTCTCGGCCTCGGTTATCGGAGGGTCGCCCGGTCTCGGTTGTCGATATTGCGAGTAATCCAGGCTCGCTTTGTCAGGTGTTGTGTCCAAATGAGCGCGTACCAAAGCGGTAATCAGAGAAACTGGCGGGCTTGGTGGGGATTCCTGCGGTGATTTGGGCTTCGAAGGCAATCTGCCTCGCCGACCTTTGAGAGAATCAGTCCTGACAACCTGTTAAACATTTCACAATACCATACTTTACTTTGCGCTTAAAAATAGTTTATATTTTCTACTATTTTTGAAAAACACCTCCAAATAGAATTTATTTCTCTTCGCGCGGTTTATGTAGTTGTTTTCTCCGTCAATAAAAAAAATCGTATTTATCTTCAAAAAAAAATCGATACGCACAAAACTATATTTCGAAAATTATTTTGTCACGGTGAAGAAAAAAATATAATCTTCTAAACTTTCTTCGATCGATGTAACTTTCCAAAATCAATTGAAAAAACTGATGTCACTCACCTCCTTGACCATGCCAACCATCAGGCACTTTTGGAACCGGCAGAACTGACACCGGTTTCGCCGACGTTTGTCCACCGGGCAAGCCTTCTCGGCCAAGCACACGTACTTGGAACCCTTCTGCACGGTCCTTTTGAAAAAGCCCTTGCAACCCTCGCAGGTACGCACGCCATAATGCTGACAGGCCGCGGTGTCGCCGCACACGGCGCAAAGCTGGCTTGGGCTCGGGGGCGCGCGTTCGCCACTTGTGCCGCTTCCGGGCGATGGCGAACTGACGGTGGAACTCGTGGTGCCACCGCTGCCGCGCGGCTTCGGGGATTCGGTGCTCCCACTACTGTTAACACGACACAAGACGCGCATTGATTTATAAGCGGTCGCTAGTCAGAACGAGGATTTTTACAAAACTCGTCTATCACGTCTCGTCGTGTTCTCGAAATTTGTGTCATCGCAAAGTCGAAGAAATATAGAAGCGAAATTTGTGCGGGATATATATACTAGCGCGATATTTAATTTTGCAGATTTAATTCAGAAATAGTACACTTGAGTTATATCTTCGAATTATTTTTGAAAACATTTAATCACGGTAAGTGAAATTAAATAATAGTAAGTTTAGTTGATATAAAATAAAATAATTTAGAACGGCGTTAATTGTTTCCTTTTTTGCGAGAAATTGCGAGGTGACTTGGAATTATAAATATATTAATTTCGTAATTAATTTTTTACCTCGCTGACTCTGATCTCTGAATAGGCAGCGACGCTCTTCGGGACCGAGTAGTGCCAACGACGACGTTGGTGTCGACGGTGGGGCAGAGATCAGTAGGAACTACAGAGGGAGTGGCAACATTAGCGAGAGCTGACGGTGCACCGTAAACCATGGGCATAGTGACAGCCACCCCATAGGATGGATCTTGCCGATGATTCGGTGCGACCGCTGTTGTCGGAGTGGGCGCTGTTTCCGCAAAGTAACTCTGATGAGGATGCGGAGCTTGTTGCTGCTGCTGATGATGCTGTTGCGGATGGTGATGCGGGTGCTGCTGTTGCGGTTGCTGCTGCTGCTGCTGATGTTCATAAGATACCGCGGCCGGGAAATCGGTCGGATAATGACTGGTGCAGGAATATACTGAATTATCGTAACAATCGTCGTCCATTTTCAGGCCGAGACCCTGGAGCTCCTGTCTAGTGTATCGCTGTACCGTGTAGGTCTCCTGGAAGCTTGGCAAGGGTGTTGGACTGCAAACAAAAATTATTAACATTTTTTTAAATTCCATCTTTTTTGCTCGATACTGTGACCTCACTTTGAGATACATTTATTTTGTTTTTACAATACGAGCGAGTTATTATCTTTTATTTTTTTTTTTTTTTATGTAATTCTTGCTATATCATGTGATGCTTTTGCTATATTAAAAAAACGTGGTGAAGAAAGATAAACATAATAAAAAAATTGAAGTTGTACCAACTAGTTAGAAACTATGGAAAAGTCTGCGTACCTAAGAGAATCAGCTTGGATGTCTTCGGGAAGGGGTGGAGGTGGTGGTGGCGGTTGCTGATGCGATGGTTGCTGATGGTGTAAACTTTGCTGAGACTGAGCGGAATCGTCAACCGAAGGTACTCCTTGCGGATTCCCCAGCTGCAATTCAGGAAACGGATCCAGTTCCTCCGGCAAGCTTCCGGCATCAACAGGATCCGTGTAAGGAGCGCTCAGCAAATCTGCGAAACTGCTACATCCGAAAGGACTCTGCAATGAATAATCACAATCGCGTTTGAACCGACACGTCGTACGATAGAAATTGACAAATTAAGAATTTATCAAATAAAAAGAGATACAAATATAATATTAATCAGAACTCAATACAGAGAAAATTGAGGAGGAATAAGAAATAATTAACTAATAGAAAGCTCGCGGAAGAAGATGTAAACTAAACAAAACCTGTATTTCGCATGAATGAAAATGAGCCAAATTGCGAACATTATATTCGCATAAATTTACTAAGAGTTTTGTTTTCTAATTACATACCAAATAAAAATGAGAAATCAATTATTAATTTTAAACGTTTCTCTCTTCAGTCGAGTCGTCACGATCTCTGTGGTGCCGTGCGAGCGGCAAATCGAAGCACCCAACTGCAAGACGGAAACATTGTTCGACCACAATTGCGAGCTGCGGCGTCGAGACATCGACGTTGTACAATCGAGGTGCGCAGTGAGGATGTTCGAGAGAGGATTGGACAAGCTAGGCTTGTATCGCGTGTTGTCTATAAGCTAGCGCTCGATAGAGACTTAGAGGCTCTCTCTCTCTCTCTCTCTCCCTTTCTGTTCCTCATTCTCCTCTTACCCCCTTGCCGCTCTCATCATTGATAGTCGATAGTCGATAGACGGTAAAACATTACACGAGCCACGGTTAAATATTCGCGCGGCAATGGGATAATAATAAACGACGTGATCGGCGCTGATACAGTTTGCAAATTGATGAGAAACTACATGCGTTACAGAACATCATAATAAATTACTCAATCGACTATAAAAATTTCAGACAACAGCTTATTCAACTTTCAAAAACGTTACGTTTTTAACGTTTATTTATAGCGCGACACTCGAAGCAATTCGGATGATCGGTCAATAATATCTTATTTTCTACATGTGAAATAGATTTACCTAATATTGCAAAATTAACGTGAAGTTTTTCACAGTCATAGTTACAGTTAAAGTAAAAATATCGAGCAATGAGACAATTTTGAATAAACAACACGTGTCAAAAATATAATTTAATTTGAGTAAAAAACAAAAAAAAGAAAAAAGAAAACAAATATCTAAAGCATATTTTCATAAATTTGTTCATATGTAATGCACGTTATTATTTTCGTCGTCATTTGAGACAATAGTACTGTCTTCGTATCAAATCAAAATAATAATCACAGAGAATTGACATTATTATCAATATTTTTTTTATACGATTCAACCAAAATTTAAAAAAAAAAAAAGTATAATAAAATTCCGAAAATAAAAAGTGTCGTAGTTTTCAGAATATCTTACAGCAGGGGGAGGAAGATGTTCGACAGAGGAAGGGGGTTGGATATTCAATTTGCAAGTGCCGGTTCCGCTTCGGGCTGACATTTCGCTCATCGCTCCCCCGAGAACCGGCGATCGAAGCTTCGTCCTTCCAGACCGTGAATAAATGGCCTGCTAAACGGCGTTCTAAAAGCTCCCCTTTCTCCTCCACACTCACTCTATTTCTTCCCGCTAAACTGTCGAGACAACTGTCTTCGGTGTTGCCTCGCTAATTCCGCGGTATATTTCCCGGTTTTATTAGCGGTTAATTGCAACGCCGTTTTCTCTACTGTGGAAAAAAAAAAAGATAGAAATCGGAACAAAGTAGACGGGAGAAAAAAAATGAGCAAAGAAAAAAGAAGAAGAAACAGGTGTACAGGAATAGAAGATTGTGCGATAAATACAGGTGACAACTCAGAATTGTCGGAGGGGGTGGATCTTGTTACCGGACCAAGCGGGATCATCGTGGAATCCGAGAGCCTCTGGGACTCGATAAGAATTGGATTAACCGTTGAATCGCGATGCAATAATTTCAAACTAGTCGCGCAAAGGTAAGCTCATAATAGATACGACAAATCTTCGAAGTAGATATTATTCTTTCAAGCGATTTTTACAAACGGTTTTACAAAACTTGATTTATATTAATATAAATTAGAATAATTTTACTTAAAATATATATGTAACATATTGAAAATAATTACGATAGAAATTACATCGGTCAAGTATAATAAAAGCCGGTTTCTTCGATAAATGTAAATTACTTGAAACGCGCGATATGCTATATTCGTGAATATACTTTCTTATTTTGAAATGCAACATTCAAGTATTTCTTGTGAGAAATTATTTGTGAGAGATGAGATGAGATGAGAGATACGAGCGTTTACACGGATAAATATTATTACGTAAAATTACAACTTATGTTGCGTCACGTCGACATGCAAATATATACGAGGAGATTTAATCTCAATCAATCCGTCGACATTCTCACTCAAGACATGTAGATACAGCAGCGACATTTCGGAGCGCCGATTAAATTTATCAAGATTTGATAAATTTTTTTACCCGCAAATCTTGCGCGGATAATTACTCCACTATCGTTCGTTTTTCTTACCTGTGTGTTTCGACATTTTCTAATTTGTGATAAAAAAAAAAATATATCATTTTCAAAGTAAATTAGAGAAAGACATTGAAGCTAACCTGTGTCTGCAAAAGAAGCATGCTTGATGCCACCGTGAAGGCAGTCGTGGTTGTAGTGATAGACGACTGATTGGTACAGGCGAGAACCGGAACGGTAGCGGTCGCTTGACGTTGTTGCTGCTGCTGCTGCTGCTGCTGCTGGTGTCGTTGGCGATGCGGTTGTTGCTGTTGCTCTACGTCACTGCGAGTAACAGCAACCGCACGCTGGCTACCGTTGCTGTTGTCGCTTTCGCCGTTCGGCGAATGCAGTTGCCCTGTAAAATCAAAATAAACAATATCCGTGTTAAATATCTTCATATTCCGTAAAAAACCAAAATGTGTGGAAAGAATATGAGTAAAAAGATAGAATATATTTTAAGGAAATGTGTAATGTTACACCGGAGAGAGAAGTTGTGCGTTTAACATGTCAACGCGCGTGGTATAAAATAAAATAATATTGAAAATTTACACATCTCTCGTATCAAAATCTTGTCGACGTTTAAATATGCAAAATTAATTAACACGCGAAATGCAAGGTGTAATACGTGACGCTTGATGTTTTAATGACGGATTTGGAACACTGGTTAGATGAACAATGTATATATATATATATATATATATATGTATGTATACTGCCAATCATTGGCAAACATGGAGTGCACAGTATAGCGTCGTGCATTATGCGCGAAGAGTGAAAAAAATGTACCGCAGCCTCATTTCTCATTGCGGAAAAAAAAAACTTTCTGACGTGTCAATTTCAAACGATATGCGCGAGAGGATGCAACCGGAATACTTTTTCTATCGCAAGAATACAATTAATATTGATTTTCAGCACCGTATCGTTTGCTAGTGTATTTCCGGCACCATGAAGTATATAACTCGGCCATCTAGTGTGACATTTAAATCTCCACTTTGAAATTAATTTCTATGTTTTATTGTTATAATAAAACAATAATGTGATTGTTTTTACATAAAACAAAGTGGACTTTTAGAATATTCCTTTTTCTAATGTTAGGTTTAGTGTTTCTTCCCGGACTTGGTTTATTTGTAGTTACATCAAGAAAACAAAAAAAAGCTCCATCAAACCAATTATTATATAATTTCAAGCGTGCAATTAAATTAAACTACAAACTCGGTCAGTCTTTGAAAAACATGGCGGATCGAATGCTTAAAAAAATACGTACAGTATCTACGATACTGAGCGTGTCCGTCGTCCATGGCGATCATGTCTGCGCGACCGGAAATGATGAGAACAACGAATTCTTATGCGCTTCTAATGCGGCGTTTGATTCTCCAAAATTTTAATAACCAGCCAAAACTAACGACAACCGCTAATGAGAGAAATCTTCGAAATCACTTCCACACCATAGTTTCGACTTAATCGAGAAGATTCGCGGTGAATCTTATTAATCGGCGGGATCCCGTCGTCGACTGAGCACTTGGTCGCCACTGGTACATCCTATATAGGGTGGTTGCAAACACCCCGGGGAGACATGAAATCATTGGCATTTAAAATACTACCACCCCGTTTCTATACAAACAACCGCGCACCCTCACCTCCCCTCCCAATTTATTATTACCTACACGATATTATCTCTCGACGACCGAGGGATAGACACTCTCAATATCAACGGCAACGCTTTTTAAGACATCATTTACACGCATCGCCGAACTTTTTTCGCGTTAGAAATTTGCAAGCTTGTGTATATAACAAACAATCCTAGAAGTGTCGCAATTGTGAAAGAAGCATGTGATTTCTGTGCTAAGAGTATGTTATTCTGTAAGAAGAGTTCTGCAATATATTCTGCAATATAAATTCAATTAAAATTGGACGCAAAAAGATTTATTTGTTGAAATAATCAGATACTTTTTTGGATTTAAAAAAAAATTCATATATCATTGTTTTTGATGTATACATAGCGCGTACATTAAATTACGATAATGCTCCAGTAAATTGAAGAGACTCAGGTAATCCGATACACAGCCGGAGAGCAGAGCATTGTTCCTGGATGCATCTCAGGCCCTTCGAGATGCAACTCGTCGATAGTCACGGATGCCGAAGTTTCGCGTTCGATTTAATTTCACGATTGCGCCGCGCTGAGAGGACCACCCGCCTCGATCGCGAAGCATCAGTCATAAGCGATTTCACCGTGACGCCGATCCATCCGGCGAGAGGATGCGTTATATGTGCGAGTGGAAGAGACGACGATTAGACACAATGGATCGGCTGTTATAGCAAATCGAAAGCGAGAAAAGGGAACGGGGCACATTGTTCTCCGTGTAGTCTTCGTGAAGCAACCGGGGAAATCGTCTTCCGCGACCGATCATTGATTATCTTCCCCGACTCAAAAATGTCCGTTAATTATCTCAGAATTCGCGCGAAGTGAATAAGCAATTGTATTGTATATTAAAAAAAAAAGAAAGATGCGAGGTGTTGAAAACGTCATGAAACGTCATTTTCGAAACACGCACACATGTAATAAAAATTTATACGTGCTGTTGAAAAGTACAACATGTACGTTTTTTTTAAATAAAAATTAGCATATTATTTTACTTTACTTTGAAATTTATATATATGCAACACATATATGAAGTTTTTTACGTGGAAAATACACAAATCCACTAATCAAATAACAAATAAACGTGTATTATGAATGCAATGTGTGTGAATTTGTTACCAACTATAGACTGTCGGTCAACATTTGTCAGTGGAAAATAAAACGAATCGAAGAGATGTCAGAAACATTCGATTATTAATTGCATCGTAAACAAGCTGATGCAATTATAGCGAGATTACCTGCCGGCTCATGATGGTCGCGTCTTCGCGATAGAAATAAAAACGCGCCTGTACGCTCTCGCTGCTATAAACTACAAATGTCGTTATCGCCACGCAATAAATTTGTCGATACCGAGAGAGAGAGAGAGAGAGAGAAAGAGAGAGCGGCAATCAGGGTAACGTAGCACGTTATAGTTACAGTTAATTACGAGTGAACACAACAACACAATTGTTATTCGCATCGTTTGCGGCCATTTTTACGTGCGAAAATGAACTTAACAGCTCTCGCCCAAGGAGATACTATAAAAACTCTGTAATTTAAGATTGCATAAAGGCGAAAATGCGTGTGCAATTACGCGAAATCTTGTCTGAGAAAATTATGGCGAGTGTGAGCAGACGCGTCGTGCATAAAAGATGCATTACTACCAAAGTCTTGGAAAATATATATAGTAACATTATAATATCATTTTACCATATTTTACACCTCTCGTCTCTCTTGCAGCACGCGATTCACGCGAACGCAAGTAATACGCAACACTAGAATTACGTCACATTATCTCAAAAATTTCAAGAACTTCTAATATGTCGCGTGTAAACTTCTTTATAATTTTTTAAAGTTTAGGTACAAAGCATTGTTTCCAGTTGAAAAAAAAAATAATAATAATTTGAACAATATAAAAATTTCTCATTTTTTTTTTAAAGACAAAACAGTTCCCAATTGAAATTGACGAATTTCGTTTGAATCGACGAATAGCGAGCGATACTCGTGAATCTCGCGTAACGGGGATCAGGTCTCGCGCCCCACGTGCACGCGGAAGAACATAAGGCCCGCCACGGCGCGCGGCAGTGACGTCACAGGGTGAACGCGCGCGTAAGAAGCAGACGGGCCGAAGACTTGGGTAGGGTGGCGACCGACCGGCCGAGAGAAAAGAGTAGGGCTCTCTGTTCAGGCCGAACACAGCGTGTGCCAAGTGGATTGCAGCGGTTGGTGTGCACGGCCCTCCACGCCTCTCCACGAACCACGCCTCTCCACGTGCCACTTGCACGTGCACGCTGCTCGCTCGCTCGCTCGCTCGTTCACTTCGCGAATTACCGCGCGTTTCTCACTCGCCGGTTGTGTTCCCTCTCGTCCCGTTTTCTCTCTTCCCGATCTCTCGCGTTCCGCGGTCTGTGTCCTTTCCTTCTACGTGATCTTGTAGAAAACGAAGATGTGCGTGGTACGCGAACGAAAGCGACTTCCGCGTTTGTCTTCCGCGTATGATGTATGATCGGGCGCGCGTGTATATAAATCGAGAATACAGTTTCAACATATTATTATCATAATAATATAATAAATCAATTTTGACATGTGCGCGCGCGCTAATCGCGACGAAGAATTCTATGATCTTGTCTGTGAAAGTGAGAAAGTAACGTAAACAGAAAGCACGGCGTTTAGTTTCTGACTGATTCTAACATTGATTTTACGTACGAGTGTAAAAAGAAAAATGTGTAAATTGTTTTTGCAAATGCGGGAATGTGATTTATAAATGAGAAGGAAAAGCAACTTTTTACATTAATACTTAAACATTCGTAAATTATTACTATAAAAAAAAAAAAAACATCGTAAGAATATGCGCATAATGAAGTTTTTATAAATTTTCTCTTTTACATATTATCTCGTAAAAATATGCATCGGTTTTATATTTATGTAAATAATAAATAATAAAACGAAAACTCTTTTACAGCGCGCGTTCGAAACAAGACGCGGTCGCCGCGCGACGTTATTTCATTTCAAACGAGACGTCCCGGTGACTTTAATGCGCGCATAAGAAACGACGTGTATTACGACGCGAATTTCTCGCGAGCGTCTCCAGAGAAGCTCGCATGATAAAAAATCAAATATGACCAAAAAATTTATTAATAATGGATTCAGCTACGTTGTCTAGTTAAGCATCGAACTTTCTCCATGTGGCCGCAGATGGGAGAAACACGTGTGAACATATATATATATATATACGCTTTGTGCGTGCATAAATTTAGATGTATGTGTTTGCGCGCGCGACTCTTATATATGAGAGAAAATATTATGTCCGCGTGTGTTGTAATATCGCAAAGAAAATGAAGAGAATAGGAAAAGTATTATGAGGCGAGGAAGCTCGAAACTATATTGTTGAAGATTGCCAAATGAGGAGATCGTACAGCTACATAGAATTGTAGCTGTAATTCCGTTTTGCGCTTGTGCGTCTATGGGGATAATTTCATCCTTAGAATGATTCTAGTTGCCATAACTAGTAAATTACCGTGGAGCGGATTATATTTCTGAGAGTTGAGCGCGTCTTAAGCGCCGCGTGTTGCGCGCCGCGAAGAGAAAGGCCATATATATTGTTGCTGATTACCCAGTGTAACTCCCGAGAGATTCATCCATTATGCAAATCATCCGGGCAATTCTAGCAGGAGCTTACAGCGAGCCGCGAAGATTACAATCGGTTTTTCCGTCATTAACGATTAGTTCCCGTCCGG